TTATCCATAATTTACACATCTTATTAGGGATTCTCCCAAATTAGGAGTAAGATCTGCATACCCTTCCCAGATCCCATTACACCGGGTATGTTGTTGTATTAGGGGTTCTTTCCTCCAAACTAGTCCTTATGTGTGTGTCATGCCTAGATCGTAGCAATATCCGGTGATTAGCCTTCTCTTACCATCTGAGATCATGGAAGCCTAAAGACCTAAGTTTGATCCTTATCATCCTAAAGGACCCCAGCATAAGATTTCAATACCTCACGTTATGCATAGACGTAAATTAGTCAAACCAAGCTTAACCTCCTAGACCCAGGCTTGAGAGAAGCCTAAGCTTTTGTTGCTCGAGATTGACATAATCTGGTAAGTGAGAGGCTCGAGATCGAGTTACATATTGTGTGGTCAAACCAACAATTTGAATGTATTACTTCAATTGAGTTTCAAGATTTTTCAAGTTGTTTGTGTTGAGAAAATGGATCTTGGGTCTTACTTAATCCAAATGAGACTACAACCCATACTCCCAACCAATATGGGATGCTTACTTCCCGTGCAATCCCGAGGGTTGAACATCGGGAGCGTGAACAACATAACATGAAAGTCATCAATAGGTAAACAAATAATTAGGATGAGTCTGATTTTGATACCATTTGAGAAAATGGACTGGGCCTAACTTATTTTTAAAAAAACTTGCTCATTAACTTTGAGGTGCGATTCACTGGGAAATTCACCAGTTGAATTGCAGAACTAGATTTCCCATGTTCTTCCTGTCTTTACTCTCTCAGCTTCCCGAAACAAGACTAATCTGTGAAAACTGATACACGTTGCTGGTTGTCCTAAAAGGGAATTACCTTGCTTACCGTTGCTCCATTCGCAGGATGCATAGAGGGAATCTGGATAGAGCTCGAGCTATTAGTTCAGTAGTCCAGTTCCATGGAGAATGTGGCAGTGGTACAGAGGAACTAAGAGCATGCATGTTTGCTAGGAGGGGGCCACTGTATTTGTTAGCATTGTATTGGAATCCTTTAGGAAAATAACTTCAGGCAAAAATGACAGGGTGCTATGTGGTTTATCCATATGCCAAAATTGTTGTTGGACTCCAATTAAGGAAATAATACTTCCTGAAGCATTGGGAATGCTGACCTTAATTGGTGAAATGCTGAAACGTTGGGAATGCTGACGTTAATTACCTGAGAAGAGTAGAACTTCATCTAGATTGTATACCAAGAACTAGTTATTCTAGTATCTGTATGACCTTTACTACAGGTCTGTTTTTCACCTCCAACTCAATTACCCAATGTTTAAGGAAATATTTATTTCCCTAATTGGAGTCCAGCAATAATTTTTGCTAACCCTATAACACCCTGCCCGAAGATATTTTCCTCTGGATTTCACCAACAATGCTAGCAACTACAGCGGCTCCCCTCCTACCAAACTCTAGTTTTCTACCCCAAAATCAGCTGTCTAACGTTTTTTATATCCAGACCTCCAAATTTCCTTTATAGTATCAAAGATGTGGGCTAGAGAGGACAGCCTAATAAAACTCATAGGAAACATGGAGAGCAAGCGGCCATATTAGGGTAAAAAGCGAGAACCCACCACCACAATTCACAGATAACACAATATATATACGTCAATGGTAAATTGGTGAAAACACATGCTAAACAAATAAATATCTTCAGCCTTAAGTTGGTGAATGGGCTGAGTGCCAGGGCCAGGATCAGGTAGAAATGAGATGTGGCTCAACAGTTGAGTCTATTTTAGAATTTCATGAAATATGTTCTGAGTTAATATGCCTCTCAATTTCCTTATTATGAATAAATTCTCCAATGGAATTGATCAATAAAAATTGACCTATCAAGGTTGGGGGCAGGATTGTTGCCTGTTTCCTTTTGATAAAAGTGGATTTATGTATATCATTTTCCATGACTATAAGTAGTGGCCAAAGCCTAGCCATTAGGGCTCCCCTATCAACTATCTGCAACTGCTTTATTATTGCATGTCTGCTTGATAAAAACTCATATCTCATTTCTCAGTTTTAGCCAACAGAAATGTTAATGGAAATGATCTTTCTATGATAGCATGACCCCCCTTTTTTTTTTTGAGCAACTGGAAATGTACTTATTTTGGTGCATATGTTCTTTTGGATTTGTGTTATCAGCCCTTTCTTTTAGTTTCCAGATTCAGATAAGTGATATTTCTCATGAAGCACGATTTTCCCCCTCTATTTTCTGACCATATCATACTCCTTGAAATTTAAGAGTCTAACCTATAAACCATTAAATTTTTCAGGTATATGTCAAATGATGATCAAGCAAAGCCAGATTCGCATAGTAATCTCAATAATGTCTTAACTTTTATTTTCTGGGGTCATGGTTCTCAGAATCGTCATCTTATTATGGTCAATAGCTTTTCACTGCATAAATATCTATTTGACAAATTTGTTCTCTTACTTTGAACTATTCAAAATAATTTGGGTGTTTAATGGCAAGAGATTAATTAGCTTTTGTGCTGATTTCTTACTGTTGAAGAGCTTGACAATAAAAAAAAATTCTAGGTGAGGGATGTTTGGAAGATCTGAATAAATAAATAAATAAATCTTGTACATATTTTATTTATGTAACGATTGGTTCACTAGTTTCTTTAACTTCACCTAATCATTCTTTTCTATTTTTCAAGTGATGTTAAAGGTCGTTTAACATAAAGTTTTATTTTGTTTTGGTGTAATTAAATTTTGCCAGAGTAATCTTTTCCTTTCCTTTGGCAGACAAAAGTTTAACACCTAAACTGTGAGAAGGAAGGGTGAGAGAACCAAGAAAGTTTTATTGTGGAACATTAATTTCTGCTTCAGCTCAAAGCTGCAAGTTGTTATTGATATTAATAATGCAGTGTTCGCTACTTCAAACCCTCTTAGTTTAAAAAAAATGTTTGTGGACTTTTATCTCGTTCAAGGTCTCAAACCTGATATTTGAGAGAAGATAACTTTGGAGCATATAAAAGAAAGCGGCAAAACAAACAACAAATCATAATAGACTAGAAGTACCATAGACAATATAAATTCAGTATTATGTCACTATACCCTTTTGGCCTCCATATACAAGCCTTAAGTTTTGATCAAAGAGAGAACTTCACAGCCATCAGCAACCAAATCAGCCCAGTTATTCCAGTTCGACTTAAAGCCACTGCAGATTGAGCAGCAGATGATGATGGGATCGGATTACTGCTGCTACTAACTGATGGTGGTGACATCACAGGAGCCAGCCCAAAAGGCGGACTCGTAACATTATGATCACAAGGTGGAGCAGGAAGACCGGCATTATGATCAGATGTCAAAGTGGCGTCTTCCAGGACTTGATCAATGCCATGGCATCTGATGGAAGCACTTTTAGTACAAATATTTGGACTAATGACTCTGGCGTTGTTGAGAAAGAAACGCATGTTTCCAGAGTTGGTGACTCTGAGAACAAGGTCAGGTTTCGAAGTTGGTATGATGGAGCCTGTTGGGAAGTGTTCGAGGTGGTCGAAAAGCAATGGCGATGGTATGGAATGGCGGAGCAAGAAATCTGCCACGTCGTTTTCTTGGATTAGTGTCTGGGACAGTGTCCTGTCTCTTGGCATCAAGAAAGTGATGTTTCCTTGAATAAGGTCTGCAGGGGCCATGTTAATCAGCATTACAAAGGCGAAATAGTTAGCTGTCCTCATCTCCTGAATGGCTTGAAGGATGTCTTGGCTACTGTCCGTGGCAGTAGAGACAGATGAAATCAGCAACATTACAAGGAAAGTCGAGATCATATTCATGTTTCGTTTGTTCTGTGTCACTTGTCAGTGAGCTATTATTAAGACTTAGTTTCTTATTGTCATGGGGTAATAATACCACAGATGATGCACTATGTTAAATAAAAGTTAGCTTAAACATGCAACCTTGCTGCTCCAACAAACTATGCCCTCATACCTACTGCATGAATAGTAGGTAAACTCTGCTAAGAGATCGCTCTATATATTTGTTTCTCTTAACACAAAGAGTGTTGTCATTTTACGTTTTAGTTTCAGTTTTTCTTTTTTATTTTAATTTTCTTTAAATGCTAATAATGCGACCAATGATTAGATTATTGTTTTGTAATCTTAGTTTGTCTACAATGAGGTAAAAGGAAAACTTCTTTTAAAGTAGTACATTCTTAACTATCACACAGTCATTATCCACATAGAGGCATGTAATTGGGTTAAGAATCGATTGCCTAATTCTCTCTGCGCACTTCTCAACAAAATTTGACAGAACAAGGGTGGTGTAAGGCGGTGTAAGGCTGAGCTGCAACCATTAGAGTGAAATTCTCATAACTATACACATAGCAATAACAACATACTCAATATAGTCTCACAAAGCGAAGTTTAGGGATGATAGAGTATAAGTAGACTTTACCCTAAGAAGGTTGTTTCTGATAGACTCTCGGCTGAGGAAAAAACAGCCCAAAGTACTCTCATAACTAAACACGAGTGATAATTTACGAGTCTTATCTAATAAAAGATTGTGATCAAATCATGCTTCTAATATTTCTTTTCCTCTGTTGTTTATAAAAAGAAAAATAAGTGGTGGGCATTGTGACAATGATCCGGGATGGGTACATGTTGCTGATGGTGGGCAAGGAAGCTGAAAACTTCATGAAGAACATCTTGTAACACTTGGCTAAAAGATTATTTTCTTCCATTGTTAGTGGTCATAGAAGATGTAAACTTTTAAGTAGCCTCCACTTAGAAGAGGATTTCCTATTTTAGAATTCCACGGGTGCCATTTCGTTTTCTTCATATCTCTAACTTACTAAAAAGGTATAGGAGATATTTATACAATTAAATCACTTAAAAGATAATTGCAGATAGCTGTACTTAATATTATTGATTCGTTATCTAAAATAAATGGTACGTAATATGTTATAACATGTTAAGTGACATTAATAGTGCGAAAAGTAATTACATGGCGAATATACTTAAAAAAGAAAACAAAAAAGAGATCCGACCTGCCGGATTCGAACCAGCGACCTAAGGATTTCAGCACACAAACTACAGTCCTCCGCTCTACCAACTGAGCTAAGGTCGGATTTGCGATTAAGCGTAAATTATTATTTTTCATTTTCCGGGTCCATGCATGCGTTTATGGGTTACTTATATTTAAGACCGGAAACATGCATGCATTTATTGGTTACACTTTTATTTAAGACTTGATACATCTGTAACCCCTTAAATTTATCAGTAAATTTTATTTAGATACTCGAACTATAACTTATTTTAATTGAGCATCTAAACATTTAAATATATGATAAAATATTTCTATTAAATACTTGCAATTTAAATTTTAAAATTTTCTTTTTTGCGTGTTGTAAGTGCCCATTGGCTATTACAAAGATAAGTTACAAGTTTTTTACGCAGACTGATCCTATTTTGGGTTGTATTTAATTTGTGCCCCTCAAACTGGTGGTATTTAATTTTTGTCTTTCAATACTTTAAGTAATAAAAACTGGACAAAAATACCGCTAATATTTTAAAAAAAATCACAAGACAAAAAAAATCCGCAAGACAAAAAAAATTCATAGGACATAGGTTAATCCTAGAAAATAGAAGTTCATGCTACTAAACTTCTGCCCCTAGGTACAAGTTCCCTATTAAACTTATGCCTTGTGGCTCAAGTTCATGCAATTGAACTTCTGCCCCAAGACACAAATTCATGCTACTGAACTTATGCCCCAAGTACAAGTTCATGCAACTTAACTTATGTTTTGAAGCATAACCTGTGTGGAATTTATGCTTTAAAGCATAACTTGGGCAAAAATTTATGCCTTGCGATTTTTTTTTAGGGGGCTGTTAAGGGCATTTTTGACCACTTTTTTGTCACTTAGAGTAGCGAAGGGAAAAACTACAAGACCACAAATTTAAGGGGCAAAAATTAAACCACCTCAAAGTAAGAGTATTAGTGTGAATAACCTGATAAGTTATCTACTTAAAATATATCATCTCCTTTAATTATACGCATCGACCACAATTAAAATAAGTATGAGATTTTATGATTTATTAAAAAATTATCGATATATATTAAGCGTTTATTTAAACTAGGTAATATCAAAAGAAAGACTCATCCGAATAATTTACCACATATATTAAACATTTCAAAATTGAAAAAATAATAATATAATTATCCTGTTATACAAACAAACATATGATCATTGAAATCCACGAGTTAATACCAACTCTATAGGATATTTTGAGATTATTTGACAAGTAATAAATCCTACATGCTATGACACAATTTCTACCTAATCTGTTTTATAATTAACAATGAAACACCAATATCTGATCATGGTACTAATGTTTAATCTGCTACAAATTGATCTTTGCTAGCCCATTCTGGGATAGATTTCCATTCAGTGTCCACTGCTTCTCCATTTTTTTTCTTTCACTCTGCCTATTGATGCAATAAGATGTTCTTTTTTTCAACGAATGTGTAGTTTTATTTGCTTAAATAAGACATATATACATCAATATTATGCCATTACTTTTAGTTGAAATGCAAGGAGGTTAACACGGAGATGATACAGATTTTAATCATAAACAAAAAAAATAAATCTCCAACAAGAATATGATTGAAAACGACGAGTTCAAATATTTTATGTCCCAACATACAGAAGATTTCATGTATAAATGCCACATTTAAGATCAAACCATACAAAATGACCTGCTCAAATTCGAATAACAAACTAGCCTTAATCGTGCATTTAGTTTAAAAATAATGTAGGATTAAGCTTTTGGGGTAACAGAGGGATTCGTGGTTTCCTCAATTCTGATTTGGGACTCAGCAGGTTGTTGCACATCAACCTTTAGCAGGAGGTGCAGCAAGTTCTTGCACCTCACCTTTTGCAGAAGCTGCAGTGTGTTCTTGCACATTACCTTTTGCAGCAGCTGCAGTATGTTCTTCCACATGACCTTTTGTAAAAGTTTTTCTTTCTTCTTCAGCCAGTTTTTCCTTCGTCTTCTGTCCCACTTCCCCGGCAGCCTTAGTGACCCGACTAAAAGCACCTGCAGCCCAAGTTACTCCTGTCAAAGCATATCTGTTCTTCATGATGGCGGATCCAGCATTGCTAACTGTTTGCTCAGCAGCTGCAAAAGCAGATTTTGACTTTTCCGAGACCTGGAACTTCTGGTCCATCTCTTTCACTTTGTGGTTCACGATGGTTGCTCCCGTACTGATTTTCTCGCTAAGGCCATATTTTTGGTCCAAAGAAGCAACTGTGGCTGAGGTAGTGGATGTGATCTTGTGTTTCTCGTCTAATGCCTTGGCCTTGCCAACTGCGTCCTTGCCCAATATAAAGCCCTTTGCCAACATGCTGCTGACGACGTCCTCTGCCTTTTGAATAGCAGATCCAGCAGTGGGTGAATTGGTGCTTCTGGTTGGCTGCACATATAAATGGTACACCTTTTACGGACAATCATGTGATGGATGAAGCCGGAAAGCCTTCTTAAAACATAAAGTTATACGTACAGCTGGTGATACTGACGCTGTAGGTGGGAGTTTGTATTCGGGTGCAAGGGCTATTGAGATGGACTGATCAACAATTGTAGCTCCCTAAAAACATCAAGTGAACTTATCAATCGCAAAGGCGGAGCAGTAAAGGGACACATTCAAAATTGAAAACAAACTCATCCTTGTAATCAAGCAGCATGTAAGCTAAGTGAACAACCAACAATGCTTATGCTAGAATGCATTCGCTTTTATCTGTATTTCTATTACGACACTTCATATGGATAGAAGAAGAGGAGAAAAAATGATAGTACTGTGATTTTTTAAGTATAGAACAGTTTCTTTACTCTCTGTTTCTTTTCCATTCTAGACAACAAGAGACACCAAGCATCCCTTCAGGTAGCGTCTGACCAATTCTGACTTTAATACTAACAGTAAAATTATCCACATAGAAAATTGTCAATAAGTTGTTCACTATGATAAGTATCCAAACTCCTCGTCCTTTTTCCCAACTCTAACTTCTACATCTAGAAAACTGCTAATCTTCAAAAGACTGATTGACTTTTAAGCTATGCTAAAATGCAGTATAGTCTCTTTAACTTTTCAAACTGCAATTTCCCCTGAAGCTATGTTGATCCTTCTATTAAAGCCATCAAGCTGAATTAAGAAGGCCACACACAAGTAACATGGACCTAGGCTTTGGTAGCTACTTTGCACTATTCTCTGGCAGCAATTGTGAGCCTCAAGACTTTAGGCACCTCTAAGTGCTTGGGGCTAAAGTGAAACCATAATTTTGCTGTTGGG